CAGTCCACACCAGTCTGTCCCAGTCCACACCAGGCTGTCCCAGTCCACACCAGTCTGCCCCAGTCCACACCAGGCTGTCCCAGTCCACACCAGTCTGCCCCAGTCCACACCAGGCTGTCCCAGTCCACACCAGTCTGCCCCAGTCCACACCAGGCTGTCCCAGTCCACACCAGTCTGCCCCAGTCCACACCAGGCTGTCCCAGTCCACACCAGTCTGCCCCAGTCCACACCAGTCCGTCCCAGTCCACACCATTCTGCCCCAGTCCACACCATTCTGCCCCAGTCCACACCAAGCCCCAGGGCCAGGCTGTGCCCCGCCATGGTTTTGTGGGGTCCCCCCCTCAGGATCTCGTTTCTGCCCTCGCAGGGGAGATGCCGCCCTGGTCGATGTCACCACGGCTCTGGAGACAGAGTCCGCCAACGGCAAGGACCCCCTGGTAGGTGGCTGCGGGCAGCCGGGGCTCGCTGGGAGAGGCGCAGTGCGTGGGGTGAGCTCTGCAGAGCTGGGGCAGGTGGAGAACGTGAGAGCGCCCAGTGCTGAAGCTGCAGGCGCTCGGTGCTGCTGGGTGTCCTGATCTGCTTGTCCCTGCAGCAGCGCTGCCCTCGGGCTGGGGTCTGCGAGAGCTGGGGGTCCCAGACTTGGACACTGCCCTTCCCTCTTGCGGGTCGCTGCGGGCTGGGGTTGATGCTGACCTGGGGGGTAGCTGTTCTGGCTGCTGACACTCTCCCTTCTCCCGTTTGTTTTTATTTCCCCTCATCACCAGCACGTTCTCCCAAGGGATTCTTACTCGGTAGCAATCCGTGTCTTTGCGCAGATGATGGGGGGTGCAAAGGCAGGAGGAAGCCATGGGTTCTATGGGGAGTGGAAAAAGAGCAAGAGTAGGGGATTTTTTCAGCAGACAAAACGTTTCTGTTTAACAAATTGCTGTCTGACAGTGCCTGATGTGTTAGGACTGACAAGCAGCCTCAGTTTTCCAAGGGTAAGACGAAGCCACAGAAGGTGGGAAGGCGGTTGTTCAAAAAACCAGAATCTGAACATGTTTTGTGGTTCAGACGAGGACTTTCCATCCTGCTGGCTCCTGTTTTGGTTCTTCCCAGTATTATTTTGGAAATCCTCACGCATCTGACCAGTTCTCACTGACTGGATCTACAGAATAGCTCCAGCTCACTCCCGTTAGGGGAAAAAAACCATTCCCACTGAATTCTCCTGTCTTGGCAGGTTGCAGCCCAAAACGCCTTCGCTGTGTGGTTCAGTCTAAGCCCAATCTGCTCTGGTTGTAGGAAGCTGCCGGGGACAACTCGGAAGCCCTGGACGCTCAGGCGGGCTCGGTGGACGAGGAGAACGGGCGGCAGCTGGGGGAGATCGAGCTGCAGTGCGGGATTTGCACCAAGTGGTTCACGGCGGACACCTTCGGCATCGACACCACGTACGTGAGCAGTGCTGAGCAGAAGCGGCAGCATTCGGAGTGTGAAGTGCAGCGAACTCGGGTGTGTTTGTGGATACCGAGCGCTGCAGGAAGCGTCTGTGTTGGCACACTGGGAAATAATGCGGCTGCTTATAGAGCTGCAGGGGACTGACCTTGCACTCCCTGAGGACCCAACGTGTGTGGTTGTGTTGTGTCCCGAAAAAGTACTCGGGACTTCCAGTTAAAATGATTGACTGGGGTGGAGCTCCTTGTCCAGAACGGCTGGGTTGTTGTCTCTTATTTTGCTGAATGAATTTCAGAACTCCTCTAAAACACGAAGATGACGCTGAGCTTGCTTGCATTTTTCTTTGTGCCCTTGATAAACCTGATTTGATGGGAATATCATTGAGCCTGTAAGGTGCTTCTGGTTTTGGAGAGAGTATGATTAATTGCTTAACGTGGATTGATTAATGTCCTAGTCTGAAGCACACCAGAACTTACAGGTCAGCGTCTTCTTTTCCAGCTCGTGTCTGCCTTTCATGACCAACTACAGCTTCCATTGCAACGTCTGCCATCACAGCGGGAACACGTATTTCTTAAGAAAACAAGCAAGTAAGTCTGAAAGCGCGCTTGTTGAAATTCCGTGCAAGGCAGTCCTGGAGGCTTTGTTTTGTGTGGAGTCAGTGGGAAGTTTCTGCTGAAACTTTTCAAAAATGACCCAAAATTCCCATTTCAGCAGCAAGCTGGTGCGGCCTTTTCTGAAAATGCTTTGCCGTTTTGCTGCTAACTTATTAAGATGGTGAAAATCTTCTGTGTAGTGAGGGCTGCTGGCTCAGGACAGAGCTGGTGTCGAGATAGTGTGGGTGCTGTGTTTGGCCATCGCTGCGCACACGAAGTGCGATTCCAGCTCGGGTTTGTTTTTGTTTTTCAGATCTCAAGGAAATGTGCCTTAGTGCTCTGGCCAACTTAACGTGGCAGTCGAGGACGCAGGACGAGCACCCGAAAACCATGTTTTCAAAAGATAAGGTATGGCTTTGTAAAAACCACCACTGATTTACGTGAGCTGTGGTTTCAGTGAGGAGTGAGTTCCAACAAGTGGTGGCTCTGAGACTTTCAGACCCACGCTGCTCAGTCTCATCTTGATTTTCTTTAATTGCAGGATATTATCCCATTCATTGATAAATACTGGGAGTGCATGACAACGCGGCAGAGACCTGGGAAGATGACTTGGCCAAATAATATTGTCAAAACTATGGTGGGTATTCAGAGTTTTAAATTTGTGGAGGATTTGCTGTGAATGGTGCAGTTTTTGACATTTGTGTTTGCTGAGCTCTGGACTTAGGGCTAAATAGTGAAGGTTCTAATGCTTCTTACAGAGTTGATGTACATGCTGCATATTTATTGTAAATACCATGAGTTATTCACTGCTAGTGAATTTTAAGGGATCTTACCCTGTGTAACATAAACTCCTCTATTTCAGTGTAAAGAAAGAGATGTGTTCTTGGTGAAAGAGCACCCGGACCCAGGCAGTAAAGACCCTGAAGAAGATTACCCCAAATTTGGGCTTCTCGACCAGGTTCGTGACCAGGGATGGAGGCAGAGGCTGGTTTTGCTGGTGGCTGCTCAGATGAGTGGGACATTGCCCACACTGAGCCTGTGCTGTGCCCAGCCGTGTCCTGCAGTGCTGAAAGGGCCGTGTTCAGGCTTTTGACCACGTCTACATCAGATCTTGGTCTCTTTTTCAGGATCTGGCCAATATTGGTCCTGCGTACGACAACCAGAAACAGAACAACGCTGTGTCCACCAGCGGAAACTTAAATGGCAAGTTCTTTAATCAGGTTTTAATACTTGGGACTAAGCTGTGTTTTCCCCGTCCTGGAGCTGGGTGTCTGTGCGGTTCTGGTGCAGTGAAACCTGTCCTGAGAGCTGAGGTTACACTTCTTATGTTCAAAACATCCAGCCAGTCTCACCGTGCCTCTACAGGGAGGTCAGTTTTACCTTCCTGTGGAGGTTCAATGTTTTTCTCTATGGCAGCCAACGAAATCAAGCTGCTTGTGAGAAATAATAATGATTTTTTATTTAGCTACTTGTATTACTCAGATTTCCATTTCCCCCTCTCTGAGGTCTGAAAGCAGAACCTTTCCTCAGGGCTGAGGTTACACTTCTTATGTTCAAAACATCCAGCCAGTCTCACCGTGCCTCTACAGGGAGGTCAGTTTTACCTTCCTGTGGAGGTTCAATGTTTTTCTCTATGGCAACCAACGAAATCAAGCTGCTTGTGAGAAAGCTGAGCTGGTCAGCATTCTTCCATAATGATTTTTTATTTAGCTACTTGTATTGCTCAGATTTCCATTTCCCCCTCTCTGAGGTCTGAAAGCAGCTAGGACAGCACACATACATGTGCTGTTCCTCCTTACAACCCCTGCTTGCATTTGCTGCTGTTCCTTTTTTGGGAGGGCAGCCTTGCTGGGGCAGTGCTGACTGCAGTGGGGTTCCTCAGTGCGCAGGGCTATGCCGTTCTGTGTCAAACCCATCAGACTGTGCCTGACAGGAGGTGTCTGGGGCTTTTGGAGCAGGGTGTGGGTATCCGAGGCTGCGTTGTCTCCATGTCACACGCTGGTTGTTTTCTTCTCTGATTTCGGGAAGATTGACCAATGCGTGGTGCCCCTTCTGTCCTGACAGGTGGAGCCTCTCTGGGAGGTGAATATTTACCTTTCAGCTGCCAAAACTTAAGTATCGCTGTTTGCAAAGCTTTTTTGCTCAATGTAGAAGCTCAAGTCAATGGAAAATCAAAAGCGTGCCCTGGTGTGATTGTGATAACACTTTAATACAAAGCAACGACTTCCCTGTTTAATCTTTAGCAGTTAGAAGCTTTTGAATTCTCATATTCTGCCCCACTTGGCTGGTTTAAAGTCATTTGCACTTACGTTTGGGTTTACTTTGTATGATTTGGCCTGATGCTGTCGGTAGTTTTAAATCTTAATGCCTCAATAAGTGGTCTGCATCTGTGAGCTGGTGCGATATTCTGATTGTTTGGGTTAATGAGTGGTGACGAACCGGAGAGCCTAAATATTGCTCTGCACTGAAACACGTGCAGCTGAGACCACGTCAGGTTTGTGCAGAATATGGCATTCCTTCAGCGGTTGGGACCCCTTACGCCATAGTGGTCATTTAAAACTGACTGTGCATTTAATTACAGCACAGCGTGCTGTTCTTGAGGTGTTTATCTCCAGTACATAAAAATCCTGTTCCTTCTAAATCAGCAGTGATCTCTTTTGAAGCAGTGCAACGATAAAGTGCATGCACAATTTAACACATTAAAACCTTACACTGGGGTCAGTTTGATTACATTTTGTTTGTAGCTTTTCCTGTGCTGCAGTTTTATTTGCCTGTAAAAATTGTACTAAAATCCACGCACGGTTCAGTGGTGGTGCTGATTTTGGTGATACTGAAGAGAAACACCTCTGTTGCTTCCCATTGTTCCCCAACCTAGGTGTGTCTTGGTTTATAGATGAGAATTCAGTGCTTGGTGCTTATTGGTGTCAGTGTTCCTGCAGCGGTGTCTCTAGGGTGACAACTGTGTTTGAATCAGCCAGGGTGTGCCATAGCCTGGGGTCTCTGCTGCTTTTGCAGAAACACCTTTACCTGTGGCTGGAATCTCCATGAGAGCCAACATTAATGCGTCTGGAGCAGACCACAGCGCTGCTGCCTGGAGATCTTTTGGCAGAAAAGCTTCTTAATTGGCACTACGAAAGTTTGGTCTGAGCTCATTTTGTTGATGAACCTCACTTAGCTTCCACTCGAAATGCAGGCATTTCAAAAGTTGGCTAGAAGCTACCTAAAAGTTCTGGATTTTTGCCCTGCTCGTTTTCAGTAAAGTCTGTTCCAAATAACCTGTGGAAGGATGTGCTTGGGCTCATGAACCCATTTCAGTGTGGCTGCTTCTGCCCCTTTGTTTGTGGAGATCCCACGCTCGCGGGCTCCCTGCCCGTCAGCTGCTCAGCGTCCGTGGTTTCTGTGCTAGGGGGAATCGCCGCAGGAGGCAGCGGGAAGGGACGGGGGGCGAAGCGCAAGCAGCAGGACGGAGGGACCACGGGGACAGCCAAGAAAACCCGCAGGTAAGAGGAGAGACGGTGCCATGGCACAGCGGTGAGCAGCTACAGCGAGGTGTGGCACAACAGGCAGGGGAAAAGCATCGCTTTTGGTGCCTTCGGCTGCCTCCTGTCTGCCTCTGGCCTTGGGAGATTATGGGGAATCGTGGCATAACCCTGTGGTGTTATGTGCTAGAAATTATCAGAAATAGATGAGTGTACGGTCATTGCTAGGGGAGTCTGTGCTCATTTCACACCCAGTGTTTTGGGAGCAGGCTCAGCCCTTTAAGACCTTGTCCTGGGCTGCCTCGGCTGATGCACAGCCACCGTGAGACACCAGCCTGTGTTTCTGTGTTTCACAGTGACCCGCTGTTTTCGGCGCAGCGCTTACCACCCCACGGTTACCCTCTGGAGCACCCCTTCAATAAGGACGGATATCGCTACATCTTGGCTGAGCCTGACCCGCACGCGCCCGACCCGGAGAAGCTGGAGCTGGACTGCTGGGCAGGAAAGCCAATTCCCGGGGACCTCTACAGAGCCTGCCTGTACGAACGCGTGCTCCTAGCCCTGCACGACCGAGGTACAGAGCCAGCTGATGGTTTTTGGGTCGTACAGCCAGCTCCTCATGTGAGGGGCCCTCCTCTGTAACCTCACAGGACTGGCTATTGATTGCTTTAACAAATGCTAATGTTAAATCCACTTCTGCGTGTTAGCTTGCCTTTTGACATTGCCACGCATTAGAAATCACAGACAAACTGCTCATATCATCTTCTCTTATCTCCCACAGCTCCTCAGTTAAAGATTTCTGACGACAGGCTGACGGTTATCGGTGAGAAGGGCTACTCAATGGTACGAGCCTCGCACGGAGTGCGGAAAGGAGCGTGGTACTTCGAAATATCCATGGACGAGATGCCCCCAGACACCGCTGCCAGGCTGGGCTGGTCACAGCCACTGGGTAAATAATTCTACCAAGTATTTCTTAGCAGTAGATTTCAACCGGTTCCTTTATTTCTGTAGTGATTTAATTAAGTTTAAATCATGTTCAGTTTGCCTGTTTCTTCACTGCTTTCCTTAAGGGGAAGCTCTGCAGGTGATCTAAGCAAACTGCAGCGTGAGTTGATCCTTTATGGTGTTGCATCCTTGGCCTTGCTTAACACTGAAGTCAGTGCATTTGCACTAACAGCAGCTGTATTTGTTAATTGAATGTAATTACTGCTCCCAAACTTGGTGTGGGGCACACAGAGGTGCTCCTGCTGCACTGTGCACGTTCACAGAGCAACTTTGGTCTCCGCAGGGAACCTCCAGGCGCCTCTGGGGTACGACAAGTTCAGCTACTCCTGGCGCAGCAAAAAGGGAACCAAGTTTCACCAGTCGATAGGGAAACACTACTCATCCGGCTACGGCCAGGGCGATGTGCTGGGGTTTTACATCAGTCTTCCAGAGGACACCGAGACTGCCAAATCGCTGCCTGACACTTACAAAGATAAGGTGAGGTGTGGGGTTTGCTGTTGTATCAAGTGTTGGTGCTGTGGATAACGGGTTGCTTTTGCCCCCTCTCCATCCACCCCAGAGGTGAATTGGAAGGGAAGACAGTGCATGGACTGCTGAAGGAGGTCGCCCACATCTTGTTTCATCTCCTCTTCCCCTCCCGGTTCTCAAATATTTGAGAAGTGTGAATCACTTCACGGGTGCTCTGCCCCAGCAGGCACGCCTGTCCCGCGGCAGGGCTCCCGTAGGGCTGCGGTTCTTGCTTGTCACTAAAGGTAACGCTTCTTCTGGGTTGCCTCTGAAGTGGCTGCTTTCTGGTATTTCAGGCTTTGATCAAATTCAAAAGCTACTTGTACTTTGAAGAGAAGGACTTTGTGGACAAAGCAGAGAAGAGCCTGAAGCAAGCACCCGGCAGCCAGGTGAGGGAGGTGTGGGCAGGGGGAGGGCGTAGAGCCTGGCTGGTTGCACCCATTAATCACTTGCGTTTAAGGGGCACAGAGGGAGTCTGAGCGTTAATTCTTCATCAAAAACCAGAATGCTTTTATTAAAGCAACAATAAACATGGCCTTAGCTTGTGATTTTTATTGCTACCACTTAAATAATTGTCTGGCATCAGGTGAGGTGAAGCAGCCTCTTGAGGATTGCTTTGTCGTTCACAAGTAACTCCTCATCTTTATCTTTTCAGATCATATTCTTCAAGAACGGTGCCAGCCAAGGAGTTGCCTTTAAAGACATCTTTGAGGGAGTTTATTTTCCTGCCATTTCTTTGTACAAAGGCTGCACGGTAAGTAACGTATCTTAGGAATTCTCCCCATCAGTTTTAGTAGTGGGTACTCTAGGAGTGTATCAAGCAAGTGAAGAGGAAAGATGGGAAGTACTTCAGTGAAGTGAGCCTGTAACAGTGCTGCTGTTCACTTGTGTGACCTGGCTTTGTTAAACACTGAATGAACGCTCTCCATTCATGCACAGGGTGCAGTTGGGCTCAGGAGCAGGAGGACTGAAGAAGCTTACTCGTTTTTATGTATTTAATGACAAATGTGTCTTTCTTCCACAGGTTTCTATAAACTTTGGGCCATACTTCAAGTATCCACCCAGAGACATCACGTACCGTCCGGTGAGTAATGGCTGCAGCTTTTTACCCACACACACACTTTGATAGCCTCACTGTTTAAACAAAAGGTGGTTGAGATTTTGTTGTGCTGGTGGTGGGATTTGATTCATGCCAAGCCTGTATTGCCCTCTTCAGTTTCCGTACTTGGATGGTGTAGCCAAAAGGATTGTCTTTATTTAAACATCTTAAAGGACAGATAGCCTGACAAACAACTTAGCATCTACTGTTTAGTTATAATTTGTCAAAAGGAACAAGACAGGTCAATTTTCAAGTCCCTGTTCTTGTCTGTGTTAGCTTCTCTTATCAGTAAGAGGCCCGAGTTCTTGTTTAAGGAAACACTTGGAATTTCCCCTCGCACTCATAAATATTTCCAGGAGGGAAGCAGTCCTGGAGCACTGCTGGGCTTTGTCCTGCCCCTCACTGAGCTCGTTCATCCCCTTTGCAGATGAGCGACATGGGCTGGGGCGCCGTAGTGGAGCACACGCTGGCGGATGTGCTGTACCACGTGGAGACCGAAGTCGACGGGAGACGAAGTCCCCCCTGGGAGCCATAAAGGGCGGCACGGCGCGAACAGAACCAACACAGCCGGCATCCAGGCAAGTGGTTTTTATTCCAGAGGAACGTGCGTTACCCGGGACAATCAGCCAAGGAGCAAACCCGCTGCAGCCGCCGCTGTGTCTGTTACCCACAGAGCCTCGTGCTCTGCCTCTGCTGGGGGCTGGGGGCAGCTCTGGGCTGGGCTGTGCTGTGCTGTTTGGGGGCAGCTCTCAGTCTTCAGTAACTTTCAGTGTCACCAGCTGGGGAGGCCAGCACGGTGTCGAGACAACGTCTCGTGCGATGTCCTGGGCTCCGACAGCCGCCCGTTCTGAGAGCCGGCTGGAGCTGGAGCTGCCAGCTGTACGCACACTTGCAGAGGCAGCACCGACACTTCTGCTCAGGGGTGTTTGCTGGTCCTCCAGCTTCCAGCCAGGAGGGCTGTGTTGTACCAAGACTACTGCATGTAAGACTGAAATTTGGGCTGTTGTCCAAACTGTTTGTTGGGTTTTTTTTCCCCACAAACTGGAAACCAGTTTAAAAATAAAGGCTTTAACTCTTACTTTTTCATTTTCTTGTCTTATGACTTGTTACGAGATTTGAACTCAAAGTTGCTACGCTTGAGAGGTGCCTCAAGCTGCACATCTGCTCGCTGCATTGACAAGATTTACAGGGCCTCCCGCCAATGATTGTCATTGCAGAGCTTTGAATGAATAAATAATTTCACACTCTGTGTGTGTCTGTACCATTACAATAAATTAATTAATTAGGGCTGCTTCGCTGGGGGAGAAGGGAGTAAAAGCTTTAGGTAAGTAACTGCTGCGTTTGTGGTTTGGGGCAGAAGTAGAGCAAAATTTGGGGTTAATGTGCTGCTCCTCCTGCCTTCCCAGCCAGGTGTCTGGGACCTCCCTAACAACGAATTAGCTGAGGCCTTTAATAGTAAGCACCACTAATTGAAGCTTTACTCGTTTACTGAAGTTAAGCAGGGAGGTCTCAGGGGCAGCACGTGCTCAGTGGAGCAAATGCGGGACTTCCTTAACCCGAATTTTTGGTCCTGCGCTTGCACAAAGAGCTTGTGCTGGCCCCTGCGACCTCCCTAACTAATTAGTTCCAATAAACAAAGCTTTATTTAATTCAGCTATGTATTAATTAGTGTTGGCTGCTACTGAAGGCCTTGGCTAATCAGCGCGGGCCGTAATTAAGCGGTGTCTGACTTACCCCCATGCCAAGATCCCCCACTTCCCTCCCCAAACCAAGCATCGCCCCGCGTTGGTGCGGTCAGCAGCGCACGGCCGCCGTCCGGGCCAGGCGCCCCCGGAGGTGGTTGGCAAAGTCCACCTGCGTCTGGGACAGGACCTGGTTGATGATGGTTTTCGGCAGCCAGCCCTGGAGGGGAGCAGGGGACAGCGTGAGCAGAGCCTGCAGCCCATGCAGACCCTGGGCTCACGGGAAATGAGCAGCAACGCTTACCTTCAGGTCGATGCTGAGCAGCCACGTTAGCCTGGTTTGCGACGGGCTGCCCGACAGCGGGCGCAGGACCATGCAGGTGGGGCCGTTCTCAGCTCTGTCAGAGGACGGGAGGGACGCGTCAGACAAAAATCTGGCTTTTTACCCTCAAAATTACATCTGAAGCACTTGGTGAACTGCGGCTCCTGCTGCTGAGACAGAGCTAAGCCCACGCTAAAAGCTGAAGCCTGGCTCATGAAGCACGCCGTAGGTGAACGCAGAAGCAATTACCTGACGAACCCTTCCTGCTCCGGCATGGCTCCGTACTTGGTGGCCATGCCGGCCAGGACGCAGGTGGAGCCGCGTCTCTTGGCGCACCGCACGCTCACAAAGTCCCGCGGTCCCACGATGTTCCCGGGCGTCGCGGCCGCCTTCTCGTGGGTGATCACCGTGTCCTTCCCGATCTTCTGGAGAATCTTGGACGGATCGCAATTAAAACATTGACTGGAGGTGTTTGCTGCAGCCACAGCCCAAAGCGAGCTGTGATGGTGTGAAGTGTGTGTGAGCCCCGGCTGGGCCTGCCCCTACCTTGACCTCCTCGACGCTGGGATTCCAGTCTCCCATCTGCTCCATCCTGTCCACCAGCTCGCCGTACACCGCGTCCAGGGGCTGGTCCACCACCACCTCCAGCCGGAACACCTTGCCCACGTCCGGCAGCACCTTGCTCAGCACTTTGTCTCCGTTAGCCTGGGCAGAGGGAAGGCAGAACCGGTAAATGCTGACAAATACCAACGATTTGACATAACGGACAAATACTGACAGGACGCCCGTGTCGTTCAGCAGAGCACCCACCGCCTCCGTCTCTGTCTTCCAGCCGTCCTGGTCCCCGAGGATGCTGAGGGATTTCTGCAGGGCTTCCTCGCCTTGCTTGATGTAGGACATCTCCATCTCGCTGAAGGGCTTCTCCTCCAGCCTGGAGCCTGCACGGGGTCAGGCAAAAGCAGCAGAGCAACAACACTGCACGGTCAACCAGCGTGGCATACGTAGGCTGTGTCCACATCAAATACACATCGGGGGCACTCGATTCCCACCGCTCGCCTGTTGAGCAAAGGGGAGGGAGCAGGTTTTCCTCCACGCACCCCCGAGCCCTGCCCCGTGACGGTCACCACGCAGCAGAAAGGGCCACCCCCGGTCACTTACTGAGCAGGGAGCTTCTCCTGCGGACCTGGCTGATCCACGCACCGGGCCCCGCGCTGCGGCAGGCGAACCTGCTCAGCTCCTGGCTGATGGCCACGGCCGCCTGTCGTCTGAGACCTGGGGCAGAGAGCAGAGAGCGTCACTCGCAGCTGCTGGGTGCTGGTTTCACTTCTTTTTGCAATTTAAACACACTACACTGACAAAGTCTCTGCTTTCCCCCTTCGCTGAAGCCCCCGAGGCACAGAGAGCAGGACGCTGTCCTACACAACCCAGGCTTTGCTGCAGGATGGAGGAAAAAAAAGCCATAAAAACACCATGAGAACTAATGTGGGTGCCCAGGAAATGCAATAGGAAGCAGGACAAGGTCGCTGCAGCCAGGAGGAGTTACCCAGAGCTGCCCCCCGCATTCAGCAGCACCACACAGCCACCCCCCC